ACTCGCTGAGAGCAATTGCAACCGGTCTTCACACTTATTGCACAGCAATTTAGACGCCATCACTATACACCAGTGATACACCAGATAAGTAACCTTGCGGGATCGCCATAGCCCGTGCTACTTGGAACTTTTTGTTACAAGTAGCGAATCTTTAACAACAAAAAAACAAGCAGATTAGTGTATGGTCCATACACCGAAGAAGCTTGTCTACAGAGGCGCCTTTAAGTCATTCCAGCTGAATGGCTTTATGTATATTATTTTGTTGAATAATATTTATATTTTAATTAGATTCTATGAGTATATATTTTTAATGCACAACATTGTTATCTCTCTCTCTCTGTTGCTTCATTGATACACTGTTGCTTCATTGATACACTGTTGCTTCATTGATACACTGTTGCTTCATTGTTGCACTGTTGCTTCATTGATACACTGTTGCTTCATTGATACACTGTTGCTTCATTGTTGCACTGTTGCTTCATTGATACACTGTTGCTTCATTGATACACTGTTGCTTCATTGATACACTGTTGCTTCATTGTTGCACTGTTGCTTCATTGTTGCACTGTTGCTTCATTGTTGCACTGTTGCTTCATTGTTGCACTGTTGCTTCAGCTTGCACTGTTGCTTCATTGTTGCACTGTTGCTTCATTGATACACTGTTGCTTCATTGATACACTGTTGCTTCATTGTTGCACTGTTGCTTCAGCTTGCACTGTTGCTTCATTGTTGCACTCTTGCTTCATTGATACACTGTTGCTTCATTGATACACTGTTGCTTCATTGTTGCACTGTTGCTTCATTGTTGCACTGTTGCTTCATTGATACACTGTTGCTTCATTGTTGCACTGCTGCTTCATTGTTGCACTGTTGCTTCATTGATACACTGTTGCTTCATTGTTGCACTGTTGCTTCATTGTTGCACTGTTGCTTCAGCTTGCACTGTTGCTTCATTGTTGCACTGTTGTTTCATTGATACACTGTTGCTTCATTGATACACTGTTGCTTCATTGTTGCACTGTTGCTTCATTGATACACTGTTGCTTCATTGTTGCACTGTTGCTTCATTGTTGCACTGTTGCTTCAGCTTGCACTGTTGCTTCATTGTTGCACTGTTGCTTCATTGATACACTGTTGCTTCATTGATACACTGTTGCTTCATTGTTGCACTGTTGCTTCATTGATACACTGTTGCTTCATTGTTGCACTGTTGCTTCATTGTTGCACTGTTGCTTCATTGTTGCACTGTTGCTTCATTGTTGCACTGTTGCTTCATTGTTGCACTGTTGCTTCATTGTTGCACTCTTGCTTCATTGTTGCACTGTTGCTTCATTGTTGCACTCTTGCTTCATTGTTGCACTGTTGCTTCATTGTTGCACTCTTGCTTCATTGTTGCACTCTTGCTTCATTGTTGCACTCTTGCTTCATTGTTGCACTCTTGCTTCATTGATACACTGTTGCTTCATTGATGCACTCTTGCTTCATTGATACACTGTTGCTTCATTGATACACTGTTGCTTCATTGATGAATTCTTACTTCATTGTTGCACTCTTGCTTCACTGTTGCTTCATTTTGTTGCACAATGAAATCACATTAACGTGATGTATGAATGAGGGACTCACTAGCAGCTTTAGGATTCGAACCTGCGCCTTGAACCACTACACCGTGATATTCACTCCCGTGTAGGGAGTTAGAGACCGGTGGGTCTCTGGTTATGATTCACTTGCTGTTGTTGGGTACAGTTGTGTATATTATTGACCTGACCTGTGTGTGTGTGTGTGTGTGTGTGTGTGTGTGTGTGTGTGTGTGTGTGTGTGTGTGTGTGTGTGTGTGTGTGTGTGTGTGTGTCTGTGTGTCTGTGTGTGTGTGTGTGTGTGAGTGTGTGAATGTGTGTGTGTGTGTGTGAGTGTGTGTGAGTGTGTGTGTGTGTGTGTGTGTGTGTGTGTGTGTGTGTGTGTGTGTGTGAGAGTGTGTGAGTGTGTGTGAGTGTGTGTGTGTGTGTGTGTGTGTGTGTGTGTGTACATTATTGACCTGACCTCTGTGTGTGTGTGTGTGTGTGTGTGTGTGTGTGTACATTATTGACCTGGCCTGTGTGTGTGTACATTATTGACCTGACCTCTGTGTGTGTGTGTGTGTGTGTGTGTGTGTGTGTGTGTGTGTGTGTGTGTGTGTGTGTGTGTGTGTGTGTGTACATTATTGACCTGACCTGTGTGTGTGTGTGTGTGTGTGTGTACATTATTGACCTGACCTCTGTGTGTGTGTGTGTGTGTGTGTGTGTGTGTGTGTGTGTGTGTGTGTGTGTGTGTGTGTACATTATTGACCTGACCTCTGTGTGTGTGTGTGTGTACATTATTGACCTGGCCTGTGTGTGTGTGTGTGTGTGTGTGTGTGTGTGTGTGTGTGTGTGTGTGTGTGTGTGTGTGTGTGTGTGTGTGTGTACATTATTGACCTGACCTCTGTGTGTGTGTGTGTGTGTACATTATTGACCTGACCTCTGTGTGTGTGTGTGTGTGTACATTATTGACCTGGCCTGTGTGTGTGTGTGTGTGTGAGAGTGTGTGTGTGTGTGTGTGTGAGTGTACATTATTGACCTGACCTGTGATCATGTTAATTAACTGGTTGTGGTTGTGTGGTTGAAGTTTTCTGGTAGTGTGGAGGAATGCAGCACAAACAGCTTTGACCTTTTCCTTCGTATTATTGTGAAAATATATACCATGGTCTACTGGGCCAGGAGGTAGCTACCAAGTGTGTGGTGTGTACAGCGCCGCTGCTCAAGATGGTCTGACGGTTGGGGTCAAGACGCAGTTGGACAAGATGCACATCTGGGAGCACGTTGATGCTCCTGTTGACAACTCTTGCTGTGTTGAGTGCTGGCAGTCTTGAGGTTATCTTGAGATGATTTCGGGGCTTTAGTGTCCCCGCGGCCCGGTCTCCAACCCCAGGAAGCAGCCCGTGACAGCTGACTAACACCCAGGTACCTATTTTACTGCTAGGTAACAGGGGCATAGGGTGAAAGACACTCTGCTTATTGTTTCTCGCCGGCGCCCGGGATTGAACCCGGGACCACAGGATCACAAGTCCAGCGTGCTGTCCGCTCAGCCGACCGGCTCCGTCGGTAAGTGGTCCACCACATGTGCGACCACACACGTCCAACACCGCTCGGCACGCTATCATCGGCGTCCTCGACGATCTGCTTGACGAAATTCTTGGTTGCGCACCGAACTACCATTTATGCACAGTGGCCTTAAACAACAGTGGAATTATCAACAGTGGTATTAAACAAGCTTTGAGGCGTCCAACATGTTAATGTGCTCTGCAATATTGTAATTTGCTTCCCCGCAAACGTAGCAAATTAATATATATCTTACTAAGAGAGACCCAACCAGTCTCTAATTAAGTAAAGAGATTTTAAGAATCCCACTGACGTTATTTTGTGCGTGTATCACAGCTAAGGGGCTCTCTCTCCCTCTATTGAGGCTTTCACAGCCTGATACGAGAGTAATCCCCCTCGTGTTGCAACTAGCCGGATTCTCTTGTGTTGCAACTAACCAGATTCTCTCGTGTTGCAACTAACCAGATTCTCTCGTGTTGCAACTAATCAGATTCTCTCGTGTTGCAACTAATCAGATTCTCTCGTGTTGCAACTAACCAGATTCTCTGGTGTTGCAACTAACCAGATTCTCTCGTGTTGCAACTAACCATATTATCTTGTGTTGCAACTAACCAGATTCTCTGGTGTTGCAACTAACCAGATTATCTCGTGTTGCAACTAACCAGATTCTCTGGTGTTGCAACTAACCAGATTATCTCGTGTTGCAACTAACCAGATTCTCTTGTGTTGCAACTAACCAGATTCTCTCGTGTTGCAACTAACCAGATTCTCTGGTGTTGCAACTAACCAGATTCTCTCGTGTTGCAACTAACCATATTATCTTGTGTTGCAACTAACCAGATTATCTCGTGTTGCAACTAACCAGATTCTCTGGTGTTGCAACTAACCAGATTCTCTTGTGTTGCAACTAACCAGATTCTCTGGTGTTGCAACTAACCAGATTATCTCGTGTTGCAACTAACCAGATTCTCTGGTGTTGCAACTAACCAGATTCTCTGGTGTTGCAACTAATCAGATTCTCTCGTGTTGCAACTAATCAGATTCTCTCGTGTTGCAACTAACCAGATTATCTCGTGTTGCAACTAACCAGATTCTCTGGTGTTGCAACTAACCAGATTCTCTCGTGTTGCAACTAATCAGATTCTCTCGTGTTGCAACTAATCAGATTCTCTCGTGTTGCAACTAACCAGATTATCTCGTGTTGCAACTAACCAGATTCTCTTGTGTTGCAACTAACCAGATTCTCTCGTGTTGCAACTAACCAGATTCTCTCGTGTTGCAACTAACCAGATTCTCTGGTGTTCAGCGTCCAGGTGTTGCAGGTCAGCAACACAGCTTCAAGACAATTGATGGCAGCTTTGGTAAGCCTATTAGCGATAGGCTCCCCTCCATTACTTAAAAGAAAAGTGTGTCATGTTTAATCATTACAATTCAAGGATTTATAGCACTGAGGGGATTCGAACCCCGATCGTTCTCGCCTGTGTTCAACTCTAGGTCATCCTACCGTCCCAGACATATAGACCAATATACCTACCTCTTAAACTTGCAGAAATTAGCCCGTCAATCACCCATCAGTCCAAGTTGCTCAATTGAGACAACCACTACAGTTAAATAAAATTATCTTTTGCGATTCTAATTCACATGAGAAAGAAGAGTCTGGCAACAAACAGCTTTTGCTTATTGTTAACTGATATACGCGATGAATAGCTGAATAAGTGAGGCAAGAGCGTTGCCATGGCAACATCCCCCATCGTGTAAAATACTTATGGCGTCAATGAGGAATTTAATTTGTGTGGTTTTGTCTTTTGTTTCATTTTCATGGTTTTAAGTGGAGGTGGCGGCACCCTGACCTCAATATTATCATTACTGTTATTATTAATATTATTATTAGCAGCTGTAGTAGTAGAGCACTCCCACGCCCCGGGTGATATTCCCACGCTGCCTCGCCACTCTCCCACGCCCCGGGTGATATTCCCACGCTGCCTCGCCACTCTCCCACGCCCCGGGTGATATTCCCACGCTGCCTCGCCACTCTCCCACGCCCCGGGTGATATTCCCACGCTGCCTCGCCAGTCTCCCACGCCCCGGGGGATATTCCCACGCTGCCTCGCCACTCTCCCACGCCCCGGGGGATATTCCCACGCTGCCTCGCCACTCTCCCACGCCCCGGGGGATATTCCCACGCTGCCTCGCCACTCTCCCACGCCCCGGGGGATATTCCCACGCTGCCTCTCCACTCTCCCACGCCCCGGGGGATATTCCCACGCCCCGGGGGATATTCCCACGCCCCGGGGGATATTCCCACGCCCCGGGGGATATTCCCACGCTGCCTCTCCACTCTCCCACGCCCCGGGGGATATTCCCACGCCCCGGGGGATATTCCCACGCTGCCTCGCCACTCTCCCACGCCCCGGGGGATATTCCCACGCTGCCTCGCCACTCTCCCACGCCCCGGGGGATATTCCCACGGTGCCTCGCCACTCTCCCACGCCCCGGGGGATATTCCCACGGTGCCTCGCCACTCTCCCACGCCCCGGGGGATATTCCCATGCTGCCTCGCCACTCTCCCACGCCCCAGGGAATATTCCCACGCTGCCTCGCCACTCTCCCACGCCCCGGGTGATATTCCCACGCTGCCTCGCCACTCTCCCCCGCCCCGGGTGATATTCCCACGCTGCCTCGCCACTCTCCCACGCCCCGGGTGATATTCCCACGCTGCCTCGCCACTCTCCCACGCCCCAGGGGATATTCCCACGCTGCCTCGCCACTCTCCCACGCCCCGGGTGATATTCCCACGCTGCCTCGCCACTCTCCCACGCCCCGGGTGATATTCCTACGCTGCCTCGCCACTCTCCCACGCCCCGGGTGATATTCCCACGCTGCCTCGCCACTCTCCCACGCCCCGGGGGATATTCCCACGCTGCCTCCGCACTCTCCCACGCCCCGGGTGATATTCCCACGCTGCCTCGCCACTCTCCCACTCCCCGGGTGATATTCCCACGCTGCCTCGCCACTCTCCCACGCCCCGGGTGATATTCCCACGCTGCCTCGCCACTCTCCCACGCCCCGGGTGATATTCCCACGCTGCCTCGCCACTCTCCCACGCCCCGGGTGATATTCCCACGCTGCCTCGCCACTCTCCCACGCCCCGGGTGATATTCCCACGCTGCCTCGCCACTCTCCCACGCCCCGGGTGATATTCCCACGCTGCCTCGCCACTCTCCCACGCCCCGGGTGATATTCCCACGCTGCCTCGCCACACTCCCACGCCCCGGGTGATATTCCCACGCTGCCTCGCCACACTCCCACGCCCCGGGTGATATTCCCACGCTGCCTCGCCACACTCCCACGCCTCAGGTGATATTCCCACGCTGCCTCGCCACACTCCCACACCCCGGGGGATATTCCCACGCCCCGGGTGATATTCCCACGCTGTCTCGCCACACTCCCACGCCCCGGGTAATATTCCCACGCTGTCTCGCCACACTCCCACGCCCCGGGTGATATTCCCACGCTGCCTCGCCACTCTCCCACGCCCTGGATGATATTCCCACGCTGCCTCGCCACTCTCCCACGCCCCGGGTGATATTCCCACGGGTCCTACATAGGACTAGCCTCAGTCTGCAGCATCAAAGGAACAAGATTTTTGCAGCTGGAGTTTACAGTTTACAGTTTACAAAGGGCTGGCCTCAGGAGGATGGGAGGGGACGGAGCACAATGATAGCGAAGGATAGATGGGAGGGACGAAGAGGCACGTGGGAAGAGATAGGAATATAAGGGAAGAGGTGCATGAGAGGAAAGGAAAGGGCCCGACAGAGCCCACACAACCAGGCCAGGTTATATAATGTTCCAGTGGTCTGTTGTGGTAGTAACTGTGCACTGTGTTAATGTTTCAGTGGTCTGTTGTGGTTGTAACTGTGCACTGTGTTAATGTTTCAGTGGTCTGTTGTGGTTGTAACTGTGCACTGTGTTAATGTTCCAGTGGTCTGTTGTGGTTGTAACTGTGCACTGTGTTAGATAATGTTCCAGTGGTCTGTCGGGCATTTCTCCACAGTGCTGACATTTCCTCTCATCTTCCGGAACCTGTAAGCCTATTTCCCCCATGCACATGGGGTACCCAAGCCTGATGCGGTGTAAGTGCACTTGTGTTGTTCTACTGTTCCCTTTCATCACACTAAGTGGTTCATTGCACCACTCCGTAGGTGCTCATGGGTGCAGCTGTTGCACCTGCCACACACCACACCGCCTTACCTTGAGGTTACCTTGAGGTGCTTCCGGGGCTTAGTGTCCCCGCGGCCCGGTCGTCGACCAGGCCTCCTGGTTGCTGGACTGATACCCGCTACCCAATATTGCACCATTAATTCCCTGTTGCAATGGTCAACAGAGGGATATGTCACCCACCTGCTGACGTCACACTACGCGTCCACACGCCGCCGGACGGACCTCTGTCACGTTGACAGAACACGCACAGTGATTGGTAGAGCGGCCCGTCTCATGTCATGCGGGTCGGCGTTCAATCCCCGACCGTCCACAAGTGGTTGGGCACCATTCCTTTCCCCCGTCCCATCCCAAATCCTCATCCTGACCCCCTTTTAAAGCGCTATATAATGTTCCAGTGGTCAATATATAGTCGCAATGGCTTGGCGCTTTCTCCTAATTCCCTCTCCGTTCCCTTCCCGACTGAGGCCCTTCAATGGGCTCGAACCTGCACCCGCTCGGGGTTCCCAGGCACACGCCCTACCCACTGAACCACGACGAGCTAGCCCAGAAGTCCCACCAGAAGGCGGAGTACAGTTCAGAGTACAGTACAGAGTACAGTACAGAGTACAGTACAGAGTACAGTACAGAGTACAGTACAGAGTACAGTACAGAGTACAGTACAGAGTACAGTACAGAGTACAGTACAGAGTACAGCACAGAGTACAGTACAGAGTACAGGCCCAAGTTTCGGTAAATGAAGTCAAAATACTGTAAATTGAATATATATACAGCCACTAAGGTGAATAAGGAGGAATGAATTCCGGGGCTATTCATGCCCGTGCCGCCTCTTGGGTTATCTTATCTTGAGGTTATCTTGAGATGATTTCGGGGCTTTTTAGTGTTCCCGCGGCCCGGTCCTCGACCAGGCCTCCACCCCCAGGAAGCAGCCCGTGACAGCTGACTAACACCCAGGTACCCATTTTACTGCTAAGTAACAGGGGCATAGGGTGAAAGAAACTCTGCCCATTGTTTCTCGCCGGCGCCCGGGATCGAACCCGGGACCACAGGATCACAAGTCCAGCGTGCTGTCCGCTCGGCCGACCGGCTCCGTCGGTAAGTGGTCCACCACATGTGCGACCACACACGTCCAACACCGCTCGGTACGCTATCATCGGCGTCCTCTACGATCTGCTTGACGAAATTCTTGGTTGCGCACCGAACTACCAT